CCAAACAACACCATATTGAGTCTAGTTGAATGTGTTTGTTAATAGATATTCGGAAAATTTGAGAAACATGAAAACGAAAAGTACGAAACCTATGACTCGCTTTGTTGTTAACAACATAATTTTAGGCTCTTTTATTTCTCCCTTATATGGCATTCTATAGTGAACTCCTTCTTAAACATACTTAGCTACCTAAATTATTAACATTGGCTTCCTTTTTTGTACTTTACTGTATTCCTTCTTTTGTGTATCTACTGGTTCTGACTGTATTAGCACTATGAGTATTACAAAATTGTTCTGTCATTAACCATTATGTAATTATTAGTTTTTGTGGTTGTTGTTTTTTTTGTTCGGCAATATTAACTGACAGTCTTGGTTGTGAAAGCCATTATGATCATCTTAAAATTTTGTATTTGTTATTTTATGATTGTTTAGTGTTGTTTCAACCTAAATTAACTGATCGTCTTGGCGATAAACATTCTTAAATATCATTTCATAACTTATTGTATGACTACAGCTTTACTATCATCATGCATAATCATATCATAGCTTCCACTACACAATATTATTATTATTGTTCCCTTGGGTTCCTAGTGGAACATAGGGCTTCAACTGCACGCCTCCACTTGTTTCTGTCTTCTGCTTTACTTCTCACCTGCGTCCATGTTAATCCATACTGTTTCAGCTCCTCTTCACTTGATCTCCTCCATGTCACCCTTGGACGTCCCACTCGCCGCTTTTCTTTCGGATTCCACTCAAGCTATGGCCTGACGCGCGATGTCACCCAACGGCCTCCTCAGCTCAGTGAGTGTCCAATCCATCTCCACTTTCTCCTGCATATATATATATATATATATATATATTGGGTGATTGGTTCTTGTTTTGTTTGTTCCCATAGTTTCTTGTTGGTGATTCTTTCCGGCCATCTGATCTTCAGTATAGAGCCAGCGAAGACAGTTGTAGATAAAAGTCTGCAACAGGCTGTTGGAAATACTCTTTGTGACACACTGGCCAAGTTTCTGATCCGTATAGCAAAACTGACTTGACGTTTCCACTACACAATACTGAGATATTATTTTATGTTATTTATTTTCCTTTCTACTTCTTGGTATTTTTTCGCATTTTTTAAATTATTTTGTGTTTTTCCTGTCTTTTTTGCTGTTGTTGTCTTTATATTAATTTTTTTTGAAAATACTCCTTTTAAACGTTGGATAAAATTAGATGCAAATATTGTAGATATGTGCTGAAAATTCCACACTGTACCACTAGTACTGTTTCTGGAATAATGCAAATTATTATTATTACAAACTGTATGGAAGGATTTGAGTAGAGAGCTACATCGTGCCAGTTTAATAAAATGGTAAATATATATACTCAAAAAACAGGATTTTATTAGTCTGAGCATTCTTTTGTAGTGCTTAGAAATAAACTTAGCTACCCAACCAACCAGTCTCAGTTTGCATGACCTGTTGTCCAACTTATTGAAAAACGACAGAAATGGTAAGCTTTGTCATGCAAGAATGTTTCAGTCATAGATGAAACAGAAGACAATTCATCGGGGGGAATTTTCATGATCGATGAAGTCACCTTTCAAAGGTGTGAAGTTGTATTCACATAAGGACGGTGGCGGCATGATGTCGCTGACCTAATGAACTAGTAGACTAATTTAGATTTTGGTAAACATGAATTCGACTGTAAAGCCTCTAAAAGTGACTTCATGCATCATAGGTACCTTCTTTCCTGAATCACTTTTTGTGGTATTTTCCTGGTGTCTTTCGATAATTAGACCTTCAAACATTTCAAATTTTTCTGTGTTTCATCCCTATCTATCCAAGTACCTTTGCCACTGTGGAACTTCCAGAACTTTTAAAAACGAAAGTGCAAAAAATAAGCGTTAAATTAGTTCACAACACACGAAAGTCGCCATATCAGTAAGTTTACTGATTGCGTAATATTATAAGACAAATGTTATGCAATTCTTTTTCCCAGTGTATACTTATGTTTAAAGTAACACCCATCACACAAAATATACTTACGAATAGCTGTTTTAGCCAGAAGTGTTGTCCGAAATGTTCAGCAGGAACAGTAATAAGCCAAGCATAAATACTTGTACCTCAAGATTCAATTTCATTGAACTACACAAGGAGCATGTTCCTCACAGTCAGGGAGATATGCCGGAGTAAACTTAAAAGACAACTTTTCAGTCAATTATTCTTGAATACTCACTCAATATTTTCCTATTTTTAATAATGTTAAATGATACCTCGATCAATCGATTGATTATTCTAATGAGTTATTCCTAAAGACACAGCATAAAATCGACACATATGATAGAGACGATTTGTAGCTCAGGTGGATGATTTTGATATGGTTATGTTCTCTGAGCTGGATAGTTAATTTCCGAAGCTTTCATCGCCCTACTAGGTGACATCTTCAGCGCATGCTTCTATTTGTTGAAGTGGGCTTTTAGATTTCTCCTTGAGTTTATTAATCATCTCTCCTGATAGGTGACCTTGAATGTGATTAGTGGTTTTTGTAGGTTTTCACACCATCTAGGCTACTTGCATTGGAACTTGAACTTTGACCCTTTGTGTGTGAGATTTCCTTCTTATAAGGTTGATAAATTTTGTCCATCTCGATGTGTCTGTTGATTGGTGATTCACTGGAATGCCAGGCTTCTAAAAATTCTCTGTCTAATATTTGAACACTGGTTGTCCCAGTCGAATTGATGCCCGTGGTTGTCTGTATTTAGTGATATGAGCGATGGAGAGGATGTCATGTCTTTTGACAGCTAGTTTATGCTCATGGATACGAAGACGAAACGGACGTCCACTTTGGTCAATGTAGTGTTTTTCGCAGTTGTTACAATTTATTTTGTAGATGATGTTGGTTTTATCTTCTTTCGTTGTTGAGTGTTCTGGTTGACATAGAGCCAGCTGACTGAAGTGATTCTGTTGGTTTGTGTGCGATGTTAGTTCCAAAATGTTTGAAGAATCTTGCAGTGATTTCTGATATATCCTTTATATATGGCGGGGCGACTTTCTTTGTGCTTTCCTTGGGGACCTTTGATTTGGTAGGTTGGTTTGGGGTTAGATGCATTTTGATGAAAATCCGTGGATATCCATTCTTTTGGAAGACGTCCATGAGATATCTATCTTCAAATTTCCTTAAGGTGGGAGTGATGCAATAATTCCTGGCTGGCCCTCTTGAATAGTGTTTGTATGCAATTCCTTTTGTGTGTTATTGGATTGTTGCCGTTGTCATTCAGTATTTGTTTTGTGTGAGTTGACTTCCTATAAACTTGAGTTTCTAATTCCCCTGTGGTTGTTCGCTTGACTAAGACATCTAAAAATGGGATTTTGTTCTCGGATTCCTCTTCTCTTGTGAATTTGTTGTCGTTGAAAACGTGGTTTATTAAGTTGTGAGTCTTATCTAACCTTCCCTCTTAACCAGTCTTATCGATGGCTTAGTGAGGTAAGGGAGTGCATCGGTGGTCGGGGATCGAATCTCGGAGCAGATGAGGCGTGGTCGACGAGCATTCTATCGCTGTGCCACTGACGCACATTTTATGAGTAACTGGTGAGTACTCATGTTAAACGCTAGTGCTCAATAACCAATATAAGATGGTCTGAATACTTTTTATCTAATGTATCAACAATCCGACCAAGTAATTAGATAGAATCCATGTGGTGAGTGAAAGCGATTCATTTCTCTGAGCTTGATTACACCGAATACACTAATAATGGGACTGGTTCTATACTAGGAAACCACTGCCTCGTGTTTAGGTCACCTAATATTAGCTAGTAAATTCTACACGTTTACAGGGTCGACTTCAAACTACTAATTTGGATAAGTAGTAAATAGCGATTTGCCGATTTGTGGAGTCATTCATGTTTCTTACTTTATCATGTGTTATCAAAGGAAAGTGTGATATTTTCAAGTATAAGTTTTGTAGGGATCTTTTTGTTTGATTGGTTGGATGATTTCATTATGAGCTCACATCAGTTAGATAAGCATTGGAAAAGTACGAGAGAGTACTAGACAGTTAGCTGTTTCGTCCCTGTTTGGGACTCTTTACAGTCCGCAGAAGTTAGAATACAGGGGCAACTGAATCGGGTCCCAGTGGCCTAATGGTCTACGAGATCGTTAAGTAACTACAAGGTCCTGGGTTCAAACCCCGGTGGATGCGTATCTCTGAAGAACCCCAAAATAGAATGAAACGGCTGTCCAGTACTCCCAGCTTGTTTTCCAGTGTTTCTCTAACTGGCATCAGCTCATGATGAAATCCTCCAACGAAAGTGTGATATATATATTCGTTTCGACTGTATGATATGCAAGTGAAGATTCTACGTTTGTCGGAAGAAAATAAACAAGAGGGCATAATACTTAAAAATGAACCACTTATTAAGGCAACTCAAAAGAATGAATAACATTTGATCATTTTTTACTGACATCGACCTGAGTTTCCCAGTATATATGCCTCTTCATATACTGGTGGTATAGAAATAATTAAATATCAACAGGAGAGTGAAGCCGCCTGATGATTAAGCATTCTTGAATTACTGCACATGGTCCGGGGTTCAATCCCCGGCCGACGCACTCCTTTACCTCGCTAACCCAGAAATAACGCTGGTGAAGAGGAAAGGTTGGGCATGAGGCTAGCAACCCCATCCTATAAAATAAACACTGCTACAGAAACTTCAAGCCACTAGCTTGAAGCCCTATGTTCCACTGGGGAACGTGAAGGAAATAAGAAGAATTACTTGAAATCTATCTTTCTTAGATGGTCACAACCCCTTGCTTTTTAAGTTATACTCTGTAATATCTCAGTCCAATCGACGGCAGTGTGTCGAAGTAAAACATTTTCTGCATTAACGGAAATAAAACTTATCACTGTTATAACCTGAAAACTTGCCGTTAGCACTAAGAATTTCTTGGCAACCTATTTTACTGTATATTATGTTATGCTTATTATACGTGTCCCTAATTCTCTTCTATTGTAGTCATACATGTGAATCACCGAATATTAAAAAGTTAGAGTCTATAGTGAAGTCGAAAATGATCAGTTATCAGTGTATTAATGATCCACCGTAAGTTCAAAGATAATGAGTTTTTTTCAAACTGTAAATCGTATTACCTACCTAGAGGATTGATTAATGAACAAAGAATATTCACCTCGATAAATCCATCATTGCGTTCTACATCTATTATTATTATTCCCTTGCGTTCCGAGTGGAACATAGGGCTTGAACAACACATCTGCACTTTGTTCTGTTTTCTACCGTCCTCTTCAGCTGGTTCCACGATTGACCAAACTGTCTCATCTCTTCCTCACACGGTCTCATGCATGTCACCCTAGCACAGACGACCTACTCGTCGCTTCCCATTCTGATTCCACTCGAGCGATGGCCTGGCTGGTGATGTCATTCGGCGGCCTCTTCAATGTATGGCTTATCTATCTCCACTTCCTCCTAAATATTTATCGAGCAATCGGCTCTTGGTCGGTTTCTTCCCCAGCCACAGCTTCTTGTTGCATATTCTTTCTGGCCAGCATTTGATCTTCATTATGGAGATAGCGAAGGCAGTTGTTGATAAAAGTCTGCAACAGGCTGTTGGAACTCCTTTTCGTGACACGCTGGCCAAGTTTCTGACCCGTATAGAAGAATCGACTTCATATCTGTGTTTAAAATGAGGATCTTATTCCTTATGCTGAATGCATTGCAGAAGATTTCCAAACTGGTTTCAGGTTGATGAAGGCGTACCTTGCCTTTCTTTTTCTGACTTTGACATCTTCATCCGTTCCACTGGCCTGTAGTTAAAATGCTGCCTCGTGGCCAGATTAGTGAAGGAGGTAACCTCCGTTGAATCTCTCTCTTCGATGGTGATTGTTGCTGGTTGTTGTTGCTGTTGGTTGGTTGGTTGGTTGTCTTCATCACCTCCATCTTCTCTGTGTTCTCCTGCCTCTTCAGTAAAAGAGAGACTATGTGCATTAAAATAACAATAAACTGAATATCAGATCAATTAAAGGAAGTAACACATAATTTATAAACTTATTGGCTTACCAACAGTCCAGGGTAGAAATAGTGGTCTGGCCCGTTTGCTTTGCATGCAAAACTCCGTTTGATTTAAGCGAATTTCAGTGGTCTCTGTTGTTTGTAGTATTCGGTGTCTAGAGGCTTTTTGTAATTTATTTGATGCCCAATAGACAATAGAAAAATACTGTTCATTGGTAGCTAGCTTTATGTCCTGTTTGGATGAGGTGATTTTATATAGAATTGTTGGTGATTTTAGCAAAACCTTTATTCAATCACACTGATAGGTATTCCATAGCACAAAAGCTTAAGTTCCTCGGGCAACGGCCATTATGTTCATATAATTGTGGAACGTGATGATGAACTTATAGAAAAGAGTATTCCTTCTTCATTATTCACTTGTTTTTTTTAAATTTTTAATGAGCATCTGCAGCCAATTACATATACTATTATACAACTGCCTTATTTTGAGACTCTACGTCTAGTTGCGCAATATCAAGCTAGTTGAAACATACGTAAACCTCGTGTTTACTAAGATCATGGACTACAAGCTCTCCTACTTAGTGAAAAATGAAAAGCTGAAATTTATTTTTACTCATTCATAATCAGTTATCTTATGAAATTCAGCTAAAATAATTCAGATATCTTACTGAAAATGGAATCGCTTGTTGAATTGATTATTTTGAGTTTTCCACTGGTTTACTTTGTTCGATACCAGTGTAACAAAAGAAGACAAGGGCCAGGCAACAGAACGTTTATTACGGAAAATCAACACATGTTTATAGATTTTGATGTACATTATTGTAGGTTAATGTTAGTAGAAAATACAGTCTGTTGATTGGTTGTTTCTCACACAAAGTTAACCTTGCATCTCTTGTGGCTGTGTCAGTTCATCTATATGTTAACTGTATCCGCCTGTCCATCTTGACCCTGACCTCAATTACTGTCAACCAATGTGGCTAGCAACCATCTCTCACCACACCAGTACACACAGCTGATAAGTTTGAAGTAAGATGGAATTAAAGTGTGTGTTGGATTTCACTACTACCTCTCATTAACCGGAAAAGGTACTGATTTATAGGCGTTGAACTCAATGGCTGATTCTTTTAAATCTATCCATTTTAATGTGGTGTATGTTTTGTGGACAAGAATTTCTCCCTGTGCTTCAAAAACGATATAACGTATACATCATAAAGTATACGCAATTACAGAATCATGGATTAGTTATGAGTGCCTTAATGTCAAACTGTCTAATATGAAAAACAAATCAGAACAGATCAACATATGCAGTTTGGAACGAGATGATTCTATTCTATACATGCTCACCGGATCTACAGTGTATGAAACCGCTGGCTACTGTAGGCCAAAATTAATGGAGTTATAAATCAAGTATTGGTTTTGTAGGGATTTGATTGATTGGTTATAGGATTTCATCATGAGCTGACGTTGGTGACAGAACCATTGTTAAACAAGCTGGGAGTACTGGACAGCCGTTTCGTCAGCCTAGTTTGGGGCTCTTCAGAACTAGGCACCCACCGGGGTTCAAACACGGTCGTGAGGAGTCGTGACCAGTAGGGTACAGCAGGTCAGGTGCGAGTATGAATACTCGCTACCGATGACATTAGTTAGTGGTCGCACTATGTTGTGAATTGAAAGAAGTTGGAATTCATAGACTGGCCATTGGATCGGGTCCAAGTGGCTTAATGGTCTACAAGCTAACTCGCCTTGTAACCAGAAGGTCCTGGATTCCAGCCCTGTTGGTGGGTGCGTACTGATGAAGGGTGCCAAACAAAGCTGACGAAACATCTGGCTGTCCAGTATTCCTAGTTTTTCCAATGCTTCTCTAACCGATGTCAGCTCATGATGAAACCCTGGAGTTATAACTATAGAGCCTGATGAAGAGTTGATTGAAAACAGTTGTTTTCTGTAAATACCAGCCATATTTGTATAATCACTTCTATACTGAAAGGTGAATAGGATCACATTTAAATTCACAATTTTCAGATTGGTTAACAGATCCCAATACGCGATCTGCTTGATACCATAAGTGATAATCACGTAAACAAGTATATCTACATAGAACTACACAATACTAGTTAATTGAGGTAAGTAGTAGTGTGGCTAAAGCTAGCTGCAAGCCAGAAATTGTAGACAACAATTTACGTCAGTGTTCACGTCCCGAATCGGAATCATGAAAAAAACAAAAAAAAACAAAGCCTAACCTTGATGAACTCACCAACTGACCATAGAAGACTTAACATGGGCGGATACTGTTCGCAGATATATGACCGAACTGCCTAGGAAACGGCCACAAAGAGATGACAGAATAACCTTCGGCAAGAAAACAACCAATCAGAATAGGTTGCTTCTCTGCTAACAATAACGAATAATAGTGTAAATAAAAATCTATAAATATCTGTTGATTTTCTCAGTAAACGATCTGTTGCCTGATCCTTGTCTTCTGTCGTTACAGTAGTACACCACTCATAGTAGTACCTACTAGCCAGCCGGATGGAGGTGATAGAAAAACCCAACGATCATTTTGCTGGTTTAGAACTCGTCACCAGTTTACCTGGGGGGATGCAACTCAGAGAGCGGAATCAGTTCAAGACACCCGATTTCTGGCTAGCGACTTGGTCAAACTGGTATGCCATTAAATCATGTTTACAATTTTGAAATCGGTTAGCAATCTAGCATCCACACACTTCGGCGGTCCAGTGTTCAGATAACCTCGATCTGGTTGATTAACAAGCACTGCTGGTTGATATGAGTGAGTGGTATACAAATATTCATCTCAATGAATCAGTAGTATATAGTTTTATGATTAAATCTGATTTGCCTCGAAATGGATTGTAAATCTTCTTGATTTACGTTTTCTGCGCTTCTTGTTTTCCAGTGAATTCAAACACTTCTTATGCATCAATGACCAAACCAGCAGTGAATGTCGATTTTCAAGTTCTTCAAGACGTACATCATACACGTATCTACTGCTGTCAAGTTGTTTATTCCTGTATTACACTTTCACTACCTTCAGTAGCCTAAAATAATCCTATTCTTATCGACAAATGTTATTCAGCTATTCAGGTTTCACTTCTGCTGTTGTTTGTATTCAGCGTTCATCTTCCATAGTGTAAGACATCATTTGTTTGAATACTATCATTTTCATAATTGAATCTTGTCATATTTGACTTTGTGATAGCTTTTTTGACAAATCTAATCAGACTATTTTGTCATCTTTGTGATTTAATTCAACTGCGCTTCAATCTTTGACTTATTGAAATAAATGCATTCCATCCATTTTGTAAAATGTTTTACTTTTGTACTAATATCTTGAATCTTGTCGAAACAAAGCCTGTATCAGTAGGCTTTTTCTTCAAATAATCCATAGTGGTTCTTAATTTAATAACTACACATAAAGCGGTGATGGCAGTGGCTTGGTGAGTGTTCACTTGTATGCTTGAAGAATGAAGTGTTGTAGGCGTGTTTAACACATGTCAAAGGAATATACTCCTTCGCCCAAAACACTCTCAAGTACCGTGAGAGTGGGACAACAGTAAGTATGAATTTTGATATAACTGGCCGATGAAAAATACATTTCTGTCATGTTTTCACCATCTTCCCAAGTCCAATGCTTCCATTGAAATAATACCGACAAATATTTAAATGTAGCTAGTAACTTATAAGGGAGTATCAACTACTTTGAAGTAAACCAGGCAGGACAATGAACACTACATCATATTTTATGCTCAAGCCATTATCATTTATTATACACTTATAGGTATCGGTGGTACAGTGGTAGAATGCTCGCCAAACACGCGTCGTGTGGTCCGGCGTTCGATTCCTGGCCACCAAAGCACTCCTCACCTCACTAAGTCAGTAATAAGACTGTTAGAGAGCGAAGGTTGGGCATGAGATTAGCAACCCCATCCCGTAAAAATGAACACCACTACTACAGGAACTTGAAGTCTGTGGCTTGAAGCCCTATGTTCCGCTGGGAACGTAAAGGAATAAAAAATACGCTTATAGAAATATTCATTTGCAGATTGCAAGCTAGGCATTATCTCAAGTATTTAGTCAAATACATTAGGTATTGACTACCTTTTAGCTTCTAACTAAATACGCTTTGTTACTGCAGCTGATAAATGATTTCCTTATATATTACGTGAATATTCATTGTATTACACTGAGTGAGGTTAACATTATAATTATGGTGTAATATTTAGTCCTCCAAAAGAACCATAGTGGTATTATCATGTATCAAAAATATCTAGGTGACTAGAAAAAGGTTACATACAAGCTCCATTTTAAGTTGGAGTTATTTTATGAGGTTCTGAGTATATCTAGTCAGTGTGACATATCCATTATTTTGTAAAATATTTAACCTGTTGGACACAACTGTACTATGACTTTGACAATTCCTTCAGAACTATGGACTGCAGAACAGCTAACACTTATAAAACTCATCCAACAGTTGTGTGATGATGCCACATGTCAAGTGACCTCCAACAGAAAGCTAACCATACAGTCTGAGGTGGAGACGAAAGAGAGGTAAGGTTCAAGTGTTGGTTTGCAGAGATTTGGTTGGTTTCAGAATTTCATGATGAACTGACATCGGTTAGATGACCATTGGAAAACCTGGGAGTGATATTAAGTGGTTGGAGGCAACCAGAAGGAAGCCTTGTCTGACCTAGGTTTCATGCTAGTTGGCACTCCCTCATTCAGTAAGGCATATCTGCAACCTTGAAGGAACTCAGTCTGCACCAAAGAAAGGACTAGACACATTTCACTAGTTACTAGTGTCCAAGCAAACGTGGGAGTACTTGACAGTCGTTTTGTCCTAGTTTGGGACTCTTCATCGGTACACATCCACCAACAGGGTTCGGACAAAAGGCCTTCTGGTTACAAAGATAAAAGTTTTCGACTATCACTGATAATATTCTTGATCGATCAGCAGAGGGTACATGGGGACTGAGAACATGCATGTGAGTTTGACTGATAAACATAGCCTGGAAGATCTGCATTTCGCAGAAAATTTATTTCTCATGTCCAACAAACTGGAAAATTTCCATGTCAAATCCAACAAGCTGGCAGAGTTGGTACAGAAAACAGAAGTTCAATTGGACACAGAGAAGATAGAGGTGTTGAAAATAATCAACAAATAACGGCGAGCCTAAATTACCATCAAGTGATCGCAATTCGAAAGAAGTTGTCTCTTCCAAATACCTGAAGGGAGACCATATTTTCCATTTGGGACGAAAAGAAACTCATGATAATACTGGTAGTGTTATTTTCACACAAATTATTTTCATTATAAACAATAAAATCTACTTAAAATATCACCTAGTAAATAATACTATATCACTGTGTGTTGTGTCATTGAAAGCTTATTTGAGATGGAATTTCGCTCTATCTAGGTGACCCGATTCCGCCCATTACTTTAATGAGGTATATGCCCCTCCAGTTCAGGGATTAATCAATAAGTTAAGACATATATTCACATCCCATTTATCTGTTTCCTAATACGACTTGTGGAAATATCAAAAACATGATTTCATAGCTTCAGTGGTCATTTTAGTGAGCTCCTTTACTAATCACCAACTTACATATGGTCAGGTATTTTTTTAGAAATTCTTTAGTCTTTTTAGCCTGTAAACACTTTTCAGTATAAATTCTGGTTGTTCACTTCAGTCATTTTCAGAAATATTTAAAGTCCACTTCATTTAAACTTATTTACGACCAAAATAATATATGTAAACATATAAAATAAATTACTACTAATATCATCTGACAGGATGTATTTTTTAATAATTCGATTAGTTATATCTCCAATTTTCTAATGATTAGAAACACTTTAAATTGAATCGACTACATAAGTGTAATGCACACACAATTTTTTTAGTGACTGATTGCCAGTTTATTTTATAGCCTCTTATGGAGGGAGGATCAAAGTCCATTCGCCAGGTTCACAATACGAACAATTATTTAAGGTAATAAAAAATAAAGTAGATAGTAATGCGAATAAGTTTAATTGGTGATATTACTGGTTGATGTGAGTGGCAAACAACTATCCATCTCAGTCAATCAGTAGTATATAGGTTTGTAGTGTACATTGTACCTTTGAACTTTTGTTTGAATGAATGCAACCTGACATTTTTAACCACACTTCCACTTCCGCTTTGTACTCCCGATCCTCCTGTACGGTTACTGTCTCGCTCTCTCGCTGTACTTTCACCTAGTACACTCTACGAGCCGACAACCGTCTCACCTCCAGATAAGTGTGTACTTTTTATTTCTTATCAAATTCCATATCTCTTTGTGTAAATACAATTCCGGTCCAGTTACACTTGCCATTTCGAGTCTTCTAACTTTGATTCCGTTCTTTAGTACTTGCACGTAGGCAGAGTACTAATTAAGGTCACAAACGGTGAAGGAGTTTGTAAGAGCGATTATTGTTAGGTCGAAGTAAACCCCAAGTCTAACTCTTACAAGTGGTGAGCCCGAGTTTTCACCGTTTGCCTACTTAGTAGCCTAAAGTGTAAATAGTCCTTTTTCATATTGGTAATTTGTTTTTCATTCGGAGTTATAAATTTTATTTGCCTTGTTTTTACTCATATTTTTTGTTATCATATTTGTTGTCATTTTATTAATATATCGTCCCGTGTGCAAAATGACTGACGCCAGTCCCGCCTCAGAAATGGCTATTACCTTGCAACTCCCCACCTTCTGGACTCAGCATCCTGCCCGATGGTTCGAACACATCGAAGCTATGTTCGCACTTCGAAATATACACTCACAGGAGACTAAGGTGAACCTAGTTATAGTAAGTCTTCCTGAGCACGTCATGGAAGATGTATCTGATGTCCTTGCGGACCGATCCCCAGGCTTGTACGAGCGTCTCAAGCAGGCGCTTATTAAGCGCGTGGCACTTACCGAACAACAGAAAGTGCAGGAGCTATTCCGAGATGTTCACCTAGGTGATAGAAAGCCCACCCAACTGTTACGTCAAATGAGGCAGTTGGTGGCCGACTTCAAAATAGATGATGCCTTCTTGAAACAGCTGTGGTTACAACGGTTACCCCAGACGATCCAGACCATTTTAGCCCCAATCAACCATCCCCCCTTATCTGAGCTAGCTGAGGCAGCCGATAGAGTAGTAGAGACTACTACATCAAACACGAATATCTCGGCTGCCGTTACCGCTAGTTCCACGCAGACTAGGACCTCCTCTGCCGTGGGGTCATCCAACGTTGATGTGGTGGCTCACCTCAATAAGCTGTACGAAGAGATAGGAAAGTTAAAACTCGATAGGAGATCTAGAGGTCGTTCACATAGCCGCACCAGCTCGACTCGTGGCAGATCTTCGTCACGAGCTGGCAGCAGACGTCGTAGGCCTCAAAATTCCCAGCCTGGAGTGTGCTGGTATCACCGGCGTTATGGTGATAAGGCCCAAAAGTGCACTCGCCCGTGCACCTTTGATGGCCAGCAATCGGGAAACCTGTAAGCCAGCACGTATTGGCGACTAACGTCGCTGGCGAACCACTTCCATGTCGCCTCTTCTATGTTACCGACCGTACCACTGGGACACGCTTCCTAGTTGACACTGGGGCGGAAGTTAGCGTGATCCCACCAACATCTGAAGAGCGCAAGCGGCCACTTTCCTTACAGCTTCGCGCCGCAAACGGTTCGCCAATCACAACGTATGGCAAAAAGTTCCTGGACCTTAACATAGGCCTACGTAGGTCATTTCGCTGGGTTTTCCTTGTAGCAGATGTAACTACCGGTATTATTGGCATGGATCTCATGCAACACTATCAGCTACTGGTTGATACTGGCAAACACAAACTGATCGATTCAGCTACAAGCCTTTCGATCTCCGGTGTTGTGACATACACACCTGCATTAAGCCCAGTATACTCAACCCCTGCCTCTAACGGCCCTTACGCTGAAGTTCTTCAGTCCTTTGCCAATCTGTTCAAACCGGTTTCTAAACTTCCTTGTGTGACGTCTACTGTCACTCATCATATCGTGACCACTGGTCCACCGGTCTTCGCTAAGCCACGGCGATTGTCCCCAGAAAAACTACAAGCCGTGAAGGCTGAATTCGAACATATGTTAGATATGGGGATAATCCGTCCTTCCAGCAGCCCGTGGTCTTCCCCTTTACACGTGGTACCAAAGACTAACGGGATAGATTGGAGGCCTTGTGGTGACTACCGCAGGCTTAACGCACAGACCGTACCTGATCGTTACCCCGTACCACATATTCATGACCTTACGTCGTCTCTAAAGGGTGCCA